TTTTTTCTTTTTTCATGAAACCTATATACTTCAATCAGGACAATTTTATTCCATTGAATTCCACTTGTTCAACAAGACAAGATTCTGAGTGTATCGCTCTGGAAAAATTGGTCTACGTCATTGTTGGTAGTGGTATCCATGTCATGAAATTGAATATATTCATTTATGGGTAGATGACAATTTGTGGAGTAAGTAAATGTCTTATTCCAGAATAAACAGTATGGGAATTGGGTAATGAACAGTCAGCGTATTAGCTTTTAGTTCTACCTGAGCTCATCGTATATGCGAGTCGCTCACTTTTCGTATTTTGTGAAGGTTATGGCTGTGAATGAATCATCAAGGTTGCATGCCTCTCTAAAAAAGGAATCTGTCCCTGTCAAGAGGCTCATTGTCAATCAGATTCTTCCTCCGTCTTCAACAGATTGCAAGTTTTGTGCAATGAAAAGAAAGGTAATGAGAAATGTACAACAATTTGTTTACATTCTTAGGGATCATCATGTAAATCTGTAACATAACAACCTAAGTCCACTACTAGTAGATATTGTCTTTTTTGGACGTTCCCTTTTGGGCTTCCTCTCAAGGTTTTTAAAACATATCTGCTAGGGAGAAGTTTTCACACCCTTAAAAAAATGATTCGTTCTCCTCCCCAACCAATGTGGGACCCTCCAATCCACCCCCCTTCAGGGCCCAACGTTCTTGCTGGCACACCGCCTCATGTCCATCCCCTTTTGGGGCTCAGCCTCCTCACTGATACATCTCTTGGTGTCTCGCTTTGATACCATTTGTAACGGCTTAAGCCCACCGCCAGGAAATATTATTCTCTTTGGGCTTCCCCTCAAGATTTTTAAAACGCATATGCTAGGGAGAGGTTTCCACACCTTTATAAAAAATGCTTCTTTCTCCTCTCCAACTGACGTGGGATCTCACGAAATCTCTCATTTCAAATGCAAGTTGCATCATTCATTTTAAAACATCTTGAAGCTTTGCATATGTTGATCTTTCTTTATTGAGCTAAAATTATTAATTAGTACAGGAACTTAAACGTGTTGTTAAACTGAAAATGTTTCAGGATCAACTGCGTGCTTTGGATCTCATCCGAAATGATCCAGAACTCTCGAGCTTGATGGTGATTGAGGCACCATTAGTTGATGTCGAGATTCGAGGTGTTCCAGCTCTTAAATTTCTTGGCGACATCATTTGGAAATGATTATGTTATCCAAGAAAACACAAAGCAATTTGCAGGTATCTTTTTTATTTCCCTCTTCTACGGATTTTTTTATCCTCGTAAAAACTTTTGGATATACAGAGAAAAACACTTCTTACCCCAAACACACGAGTGTGAGAGAGCGAGAGATACATCTGCCAGCCAACTGAGGAGTGCCGCAGGTTCAGATTGAGTAGCTCTGCAGTTGAAATAGAACAAACACAGGTTTTCAAATCTAGAACTCATGAGATTTAGTTCAAAAAACGAAAAAAAAAAAAAAAAAAACTGAAGGTGCATCACGTGGTTAGCACAGGATGTTGCCTGAGAATGAATGTTATGTATTTTTTGGGATAATGTTTAGAAGTATAATAAGATGAATAATTTTTAAAAAGAATCTGGGACAGAGTCCATTCTCTACTAATCTTTAGGTAGATTTTGCAGGCTTAAGTGCCTGAGACTCGGTTTGATAGACCGTTTTTATGGTTATATTACAAGTTTGGTCTTTCAATTTTTTTGTTTTTGTCTAATAGTTTTTTTTTTAATAGGTTCCTGAATGTAAAAATGTCGAATAAGTCTCTTAACTTTCAATTGTGTGTTTAGTAGGTCGATGATATATTCAACACTTTTCTAAAATTAACGAGTCTCTTAGACATAAAGTGAAAATTTGTGTTCAATCAGACACCAAATTTTCGATTTATGTCTATTAGATTCTTGAATTTTAAAAAAATGTTAGAACATGTCAACGATGTACTAAATTTGAAAGTTTAGAAATTAGTCTGACACTTTTGCAAATTCAGGGACTTGTTTGACATAAAGTTGTACGTTCGGGAACTGAATTAGTAATTTAACCATTTTTAAGTCGTTAATCCGAAATCTCTGAATGTTTTAAGCCCTTGCCACCAAGAACTGAGAATTGCATATTTGTTGTAATGCTGAACACTTGGATTTCACTTTCTTATTGTTGAACCTTAGTGTTGGGCATTTGAATCAGGTTTTTGCTGAAATGGGTGACCATATTCCCAATGAAAGGTGACGTTGATGCCATCAATTAACTTTTTCTATATATTATAAATTATTTTGCATCGGATGAAATCCCACCTCGGCTAATTCAGAGAATGGTCATGGTTTATAATCAAGAAATAATCTCTCCACGAGGCCTTTTGAGGAAGCCCAATATCATACCATTGTGGAGAGTCGTGTTCATCTAACATTTAGGAGTCGATGGTAACTATTTTATTTTCACTTTTTAATTTTATTTTTTCTTGTTTTCTCATCATTTTGTTTTATAATATCTTTATAATAATTCTGATTATTGTTTAGAAAAAATTTAAATTGTTACTCAAATTTCCAATTTTTTTTTTTTTTTT